TCCAACAGGACTGAGCACCATCGCACTCAGAACGCGCCAGCCAAGAATGGTTACAAAATGAGATACCTCTTTTAATTTCCACTGCACTATGGCCACCAAAATCTCCGGATACCAATCCGTTGGATTATTATGTCTGGAGTATTTTGAAAAGCAAGGTTGGCACTAAAAAATATCAAAGTGTCGATACCTCAAGCAAGCGCTTCGCCGGGAATGGGCCAAAATTCCGCAGAGCAACATTCGGGTAGCCGTTTGAAGACCATAATTTGTGCCAATGGTGACCAATTCGAACAAATCTAAACTTATTCTAAAATTTGATGCTATTTCCGACATTTTTGTTTCATTCAATAAAATTTAAAAAAATGTAAAAATTATGGCGTTTGACTTTGTTGCAGTTTTTTATCTCACCCTGTATGTAAAACCCTTATCGTCTAATAGCAGCTTAAACAAACAATATGAACTGTACTCTCACAAAGTGCTCACGGGCTCTTTTAAATTAAAGATTTTGTGCATGTTTTTTGATTTTATCTCTCTCTCCCTGTTCACTTTATTTAAATGGAGAATGTTTTCTCTCCACAAAGTCTGTGGAACTGGCATCGATTTAAAACTAACTTAAAAGGATTGTTGTGATGTGGGATTGTGTGGAGAATGTTAAACCCTATTTCCTCACACCACCAACGGCTCCTAGAAAACACCTCTTTTTCGATTTGGTAACCTGCTGGTCGCATTTGGCCGGGATTTTTAATTTTTTACCATAGATTTTTTATTTTTTACCATGTACCCCACAAAACTCCCTACCTTAATAAATAGGATTTCTTAACATCATCGAAACAATTCACCAGCATCCATCCAGATAGCCAGCGATCTGGTAAAGCCAATCCAGCTACTTAGCTAACAGGTGTCTTTATGAATTATGGCTGTTGAAAAATGTCAACGAATATGTGGCTGTCATTAGTAGTTGTCATCATAAATGTTAAAATGTACAAAATTGTTTTTCTATTTGTGTTTAGTGCGGCTGGCTAGCTGGCTAGCTAGACAGACGGCCTGTCATGTCAGGCTGGCCTTCCTTTTTCCTGCGTTGGTTGGAGTGTGGAGTCTCCGAGCTTAAGTGCATGGCTCTGCACAAACTCCCCCCGACTTAATAATTTTTTTCTCGAATTCCAGTTGCAAGGCAAAAATAATGATTTGTATGACAAGTTATCCATAAATGTCTGGTGGTGGCTCGATCGGTAATGGGGTTTCTCTTTGCTCTCTACGATATAATGCGGCAGTTTTTATTGTTGTTGCTGCTGCTGCCGTTGTTGTTGTTTAATAAATTGAGATAAGACGTAAATTATACATGCCAGAAGCATGTCGTTCCCTCCCACCTTACCGATCATATCGATTGAAACTATGTTTATGATTCTGTTCGAAAATGTCTTCGATGTCCATTTACAACTGCTGCTGGACATACATAAATAGTTAATGAGTTTATTTAACAACGGGTGGTAAAAGTTTAATGATGTCCACTGATGAGATGTTAGATAGTTTGTTTTTGTTTTTGCTTCTGTGGAAAACAATTTTAATGTCTTTATAGCAATTTTTCAGTGCAGTGCCAAATTTGAAAATTCATAAAAAAATTGATACAGTGTTGCAATTGAATTTGACTATGTAAGGTTAGGTGACATTTGAGCAGCTATGCCGGAGATTTTCCACATTAGCTGACGTGCAATGAATTGATAAGTTTATGTTGTAATATGGCATATATGTACTGAAATACGATAAGACTACAGGGAGTTTATGGGAAAAAAGAAATCTGAATAGTGTATAACGCCGATGATATGATAATAAGATTTACTGTGAATAGAAGTCTATATCGATTTTTATACCCTACACCACATTGTGTTAAGGGTGCATGTCTTTGTGCCTTTGTTTGTAACATGGAGAAGAAAGCGAGATAGACCCATAGTTTCTTTTGAGGATCTCCATAAAATCACTTTCTGAGTGGATTTATGGTTGTCAGTCCGTCCATGTATTCTTGTGAACAAAATGCAGGGCGCATTTATTATCCGATTGAGATGAAAAACAATATTTGTTTGGCCCAAGGACGAAAATACCTCTATCAAATGTTATCGAGATCGGTTCAGATTAGGATATAGCTCCCATGTATATCTTTATCCGATATCAGGTTTATTGTGCACCAAATTGCCAATATCCAAATTACCTGAATTTTGGCACATTCGACCAAATTTCTTCTACATCAAATTTGGTTAAAATCGGTTCTTATATAGCTATAGCTCCCATATATATGTTTTATGCGATTTAAAGTCCCTGACAAGCGTAATATGAATTTCACAACAATGATCTTTGGTACCAGATATCAGATACAGCTCTGAAATAAGTGTATCACATTTTATCGAGATCGGTTCAGAGTTGGATATAGCTCCCATTTATATCCTCAACCGATTTCGGGTTAATTGTGCCCCCAATGGCTAATATCAGTCTAAATGACCTGAATTTTGGCACATCCAACAGAATTCAGTCCAGAAGCAAGTACATTAAATTTTGTGAAAATCGTTTCAGATACAGTTTTAGCTCCCATATATATGTTTCAACCGATTTGGGGTTTTAAGTCCCTCACATTCGTAATATGCACCCCATAAGAATGATATTTGGTATGGGATATATCATATAGCCCAAAAATACCTCTGCCAAATTGTATAAAAATCACTTCAAATTTGGATATAGCTCCCATATATATTTTCAACAGATTTCGGGTTAATTGTCCACCAATTGGCCAATATCGGTACAAATGACCAGCAGTTTGGCACATCCGTCAGCATGCAGTCTAGAAGCAAGTACATCAAATATGGTGAAACTCGGTTCAGACATATATATGTTTCATCCGATTTCGACAACAATGATGTTTGGTATCAGATATCTTATAGAATTCGGAAATATCTTTGACAAATTTTATCGAGATCGGCTAAGATTTGAATATAGTTCCCATATATACCTTTAATCCGATTTCAGGTTTATTGTGCAAAAAATGGCTAATATTAGGGTAGGTGGAGTGAATTTCGGGACGTACGTTTCCATTTGGTGGAACTCGGCTCTGATATATACAGGGTGAGATGAAAAAACTGCAACCAACTTCAGACTGCTGTCATTACTAAGCTACTCGTCCGACAGCTGTTAAAATTATTCCAGTGACAGCTCGTTATATTGTTTACAAGCGTACAAAAGCATTTTGGTGAGAATTTTCTAGAAAAAAGTTATTCGTGATGGAATTCAAGCGGAGTAGGATATAAAGCAGGGGTAGACAAAGAGTATCCCATGGGATGTCTGTTTATTCACCAACACAATTTTAAAACATAAATTGTTTTTCATTTTTTGTCAAAATGGTTTTGGTAGCATATTTAGTTTTATCTGAGCTGTCGATAAGGAACACCGTTAGAAATATTGGGGTACATAAATTTAATTTTGATTTCAGGAAAAGATATGACAATGATGGCCATGGACTATTTGTGTGATTTGCTCATACAAAAAATATATATTTTCAGTTTCATTTCGATAGTGAATATAAATATCCTTTCCGGACCCCTTGTTTATAATTTTTCCCTAAAGCATTATCTGAATACCTTAAATATTTTTTACATCATTCGTAGTATATTTTCTCTAGTTTAATAGTTTATATAATTGTGTAAATAAAAAGCGATTAAAAAAATATTTTTTAAAAGATCCACGTCTCGAAGGCTCTTCAAAAAATATATTCTTAAAAATGTCCACGTCTCGAAGGCTCTTCAAAAATATGCTTTAAAAAGTCCACGTCCCGAAGGCTCTTCAAAAAATATTCTTTTAAAAGTCCACGTCTCGAAGGCTCTTCAAAAATTATATTTTTAAAAGGTCCACGTCTCGAAGGTTCTTCAAAAAATATTCTTTAAAAGGTCCACGCCTCGAAGGCTCTTCAAAAAATATTCTTTAAAAAGACCACGTTTCGAAGGCTTTTCATAAAATATTCTTTAAAAGGCCCACGTCTCGGAGGATCTTCAAAAATAGTTTGTTCAAAAGATAGGCTCTTCAAAAAATATCCTTTAAAAATCCACGTCTTGAAGGTCCTTCAACAAATATGAAAACAAATATAAATATTGATATATTTTTTATTTCAAAACACAATCACGAAATAATTTTAAATTTCTTTGCCTAGCCCTGGTATAAAGATTTAATTCATAATTTTAAAAGCGTGAATATGTATGTCTCTTTAAAAACCTGTCATGAATTACAATTTTGCTTTTTTATACCCTCCACCATTTTTTGTCATTCTGTTTCTAACTCCTCGAAATATTCATGATAAACCCTTCAAAGTATATATTTTCGGGATCCGCGTAAAATTCTAAGACGATTTAGGGATTAGGCAGGTTAAGATCGTCGGCCTACGTCTTCATATAGCCCCCATCTCCCAATATTCAGTATTTTTCATGATTTTAGCGACTTAATTCACCCGATGTGTACTACAGCAGGACCACGTATAGCCCTCCTATAAAGGTATAACGGTATTTTTCGAAATTTTTTTGAAAATTTTCAAGTTCTTTCCAAATGGTGGATTGTTTGGTGACGATTTGACAACAAAAAAAAAAAATGCTGTGAATATTTGTTTCTAGCCTCTCATGAGGTGATAGAGGTGTTATATAATTAAAATGTTTTTTTGTTTTTACGCATACAATCTTAATTACTGTCTCACCTACTGTTATACGGATTACCACACTTGTTATTTAATAAAAAAAAATAAAAAAAAAAACAAAATTGAAACAATAAATTCACGCCTGACATGACCTGTACCAATAAACTTCTTCATAGGTTTTCACCAAAATTTTGCTATTGAAATTTCTAACTCAACTCTGCATCGTGAGTAAGGAAAGTGGTGTATACAAAGAAGAACAAGAAATGCGTGATATGTGACATGACAACAAACGAAAGTAAATAAAAGAGTGTATGGCCAAATAAACAAAAAAATGTGAGTCTCCAAAAAAAATCACGGTTTTTAAATAAATTTTCGAAATGAAGAAATCAAAATTAATTTCACCTTATAAAAATACTCTGCATTTCAAAATTGGTCACAGTCACAGTAAATCCAGCAAAATGTCAACACTAAAGCCAAGTTTATTTATTTTCTTCCTCAGCCTATTCAACCATTCCCTGGCTGAGGTATCGCACTTTTTCGCACCGGAAATAAGTTATTTTCAACATCATCATCACATACCGGGACCGCAACAATCAATACCCTTGGCATTTCATCCACCATTGGCTGGAGTTTATGGTTCACCGGTATCTTCGATATATCCCAATCCTCCAGCAGCAGCCGCACCACCTCCACCACAAGTTGTAACCCCAGCGCCTGTGGCTCCCATTCCTTCGTCTACCACGGAATTCACATTGCCCGAAATTGTCGATAATCGCAGTGCCAAGGATCAACGACATTTTATACCATTACATCGTCAGTATGTACCACCTTCTGAGGAAAGGCCAAGCTATGACACTCCATTGCAAAGGTATGGGATTGAAAAAAAATTGAAATCATTTTTATTTTTAAAAATTAAATATCTTTCCTCACATATAGCGATCCCAACAAATATCCCTTCAGCGGTTATGTTTATGAAAAACCAACAACAACTACGACGACAACCACTACAACTACCACCACTGAAAAACCCACCAGACCCATTGTGGTGGAAGACTTGCCCTCTCAATTTCTACCACCCTTTGGAAATGATACTCCGTCATTTGAAAATGATGAAGATTTCAATAGACCCTTATCGGAGGGTTACGATTATCATGCTCCCCCTCCAGTTGTAATACAAAGTGATACCCCATTTAGTCGTCCCTCAACACCGGCTCCCGTTTATTTGCCAGCCTCCACGGATCAACAGACGGTGTTGCAAAATACCGATCCATCTGTGCCGCCATTACGTCTACATGTCCATGAAATGCGTTGTCTGCAGCCGCAGGCCAAACAGGGTGGATATTTTCGTTCGGTCCTTAAGGTGGATAGTTTTATTGGTGCCACTCCCACGGTGGATAATGATTCCAGTGATAAACGTTGTGAACTGAAGTTGCATAAGAGCTATGTTGTTGTCGACATAGCCGGAGAGGATTTCGGCAAGTGTGGTGTTCAGTCATGTGGCACAGATTTGTGTCTGCGCCTCAGATTCCCTGCCCTGAGGGGAATGCGAACTGGCTCGGATAATATTTTGACATTGCATTGTAAATCACAAAATCGGGTGGCCGTCAAGACGCACGCCCTCAAAATGGGTGTGGCCAATGATGTGTAAGTTCTTCATTAGCAAAGATTGCAGATTTATTTTTATTATCCTTCTCTCTCCCCTATCTCTCTTTTAGGCAATCCCGCAGCCTGGGTACCCTGGCCAAGGGAGGATCCCAGAATTCCTTTAGGACTCATGTGGAGCTTTTGCGGAAAACACCCCAGGGTTATGCTAGACATTTGCAAAGCAATGAAGCTGTGCAGCTGGGGGAAGACTTACTGCTTCGGGCCCATGTTGTGACGGGAGATGGTAATTGGAACCAAAATCCTTTAGCAAAACAAATTTTATGAATTTCCCCTCCCTTTACAGGTTGGAATTTCACCAAGCTAACCGATGTGTGTCTCCAACGCATTTCGCCCTCCGGAGAGGTGTTGAACAATGTCCAACTCATTACCGCCCAAGGATGTTTGAATCCCTCCATGAAGGGTATTTGTACCCAACCGCCCTCATTCGATGCCCCCTTGGGCTACAAGCTGCCTTTTAAGGCTGTCATGTTCCAGGGCATGCGTAGTGGTGATGAATTGTTGATGTCCATGCGCATTACTGGATGTTTGGACTATCATGATTGTCATGTTTCGGCGGATCAATGTTTCCCGCCAAATTCTAATCATCTAGTGCGACGTAAGCGGGACATGCCGGCCAAACAACAAAATCAAACGGAGGTCTCTGAAATTTCTAAAATATCTTTTCGTGTCATCATGCCCGAAGATAAACAGACGGCGGCTAACATGTCTGAAGGCAGAAATGGCTCGTCATCGTCGAAATCATTAATCTTAATGGGCTCCCTTGGGTTTGTTGTCCTCCTGGTGGCTTTGGGCATTTTTGTTGTTTTAAAACTAAAGAAATAATTTATATTTATTTTAGGTTATTATGTTCTGTTTTGTAGATTTCGATTATTTTTACTATTTTAAGCGACAATAAATAATAGATAAGTTTCAAATGCTGTATCTCTGATCGATCCGAACATGTTGCACACAAGCGCATTAAACCAAAAATGGCCGAACATTATGTACTCATGTACAAATTCGTTTACAAGATATTGCATGCGAAGAGAACGTGTGACAGCTGCAAAATGTCGACGTTGTTTGTTCGGTGTTATGATCAGGTTGGTCAAATATTTTAGGTCCTATGACTGGGAACAGGAGAGCACAAGAAGTTTTGTAAAAAATGTCGAAAAAGCATCAAATTTTGATTTGTTCGAATTGGTTACCTTTGGCACGAATTATGGCCTTCAAACGACTAATGAACTTGGGTGGCGCGTGCTGAGTGCGATGGTGCTGAGTCCTGTTGCAATGTCCAAGGTCTGCGGCCAAAATGTTTGCGTGCCCAAGGCTTTAATATACCCTCCAGAATATTTTCCCGATAATATTCGGCATTTATTGTAATGCCACGGTTGATTAATATGAGCGGAGAGCGACTATCGGCTGTTATGGCGGCCCACATCATAGAGTGAATACTGTGCTAGGAGGACATCCACCCCCCGTCGCAGCTGAAGATCGAGAGCTGCCCCGACAAACCCGAGTAGTTTTGGCTCAATTGCGATCCGGATGGTGCAGCCGCCTAAATTCCTTCTGGGAAATGCTGTCAATGCAATACCTGCTTGGGTGTTATAGACAAAAACCATCCGAATCACCATCTTGTGGATAGGCAACGTCCGCCCAGGCACGTTAGGAAAGACTTTCATGATCTAGAAAGAGAGAGGTGCAGAGGTATAAGAGAGAGCCTCTAGATCAACAGGCCTATCAAGCGGGATAGTATTCACTCTAATGCGGATATTGAAGGATATAGAGTGAATACTGTGCTAGGAGGACATCCCCTCCCGTCGCAGCTGAAGAACGAGAGCTGCCCAGACAAACCCGAGTAGTTTTAATTCAATTACGATCCGAATGGTGCAGCCGCCTATATTCCTACTGAGCCCGGATTAACAGCGATGTGCAGAATATCTACCCAGCTTGTGGCACAGATCCACATGACACGCTGCACCTATTTCGCTGTTCAACCAAATCTACTCACCTAACTCCAGTCTCGTTATGGACACAACACATACTGGTTGCATCCTTTTTGACATAGAGGCAGAACCAGATTGAATTGAGTCAGAAAATGGAAACCGAACGAACACAGATGTATGAGCTGCTACAACAACAACCAGTCCTGTTGGAATGCCTAAGGTCTGCGGCCAAAATGTTTGCGTGTCCATGTCTTTAATACACCCTCCAAAATATTTTCGCGATAATATTCGGCATTTATTCTGATGCCACGTCGATTAATACGAGCGGAGAACGACCATCGGCTGTTATGGCGGCCCAGACTATTACCATGGCCGTCGCTTGAGTTCTGGTGGCCAACCGAAGGTGCACATTTTCAGCTGACCTTTTTGGCAAGTAAATACGATCATTTCGTTTTTTACAAACGGCTGGACAACGAATGTTATCTCATCGGAGAAATCCAAATTCGGCATTTCACCACTTTCGGCCAAGCGAAGCAACTCTTAAGCTCTTTTGAGTCTATTTTCTTTCTGTAGCGGTGTAAGTTCTTGCACTTTTTGGAATTTCAATGGCTTTACCCCGAGCTCACTTTTCAATATTTGCCGAATGGAATATTGCGATATGTTCAGCTCACGAACCATTTTTCGGCCACTGCGACGCGGGTTTCGATCAAGTGGCTTCTTTACATTTTGGAACCATTTCTGCAGATGTTGCTGTTTTCTTCCGTCCACTTCCTTGACATCGGGCTACGCTACCAGTGTGGCGGTAATGAGCGATGGTACGAAACACAAAAGATTTATTCTCATTTAAATGCTGGAGTGCTCTAACGATAGCCACTTGTGGGTTTCCAGCCAAATACAAAGAAATCACACTATCACGCTTGAATTTCATCACAAATAACTTTTTTTCTGGAAAATGCTCTCACTGGAAAAATTTTAACAGCTGTCGGACGTGTGGCTTAAAAACGACAGCAGTCTGAAGTTGGTCCATTATTTGGTAATGGCATTTTTTGTGGGACATTGGATAATTTTTTTAATTCTCTTGGAAAGTTAACAAAACTAAAGTTGCATTTTTTAGATTTAAGCTTGGAACTTAAATATCACATATTGCCCCTCGTATTTTCTTTTGCCATCGTCTGTCTCTCTGATCGATCTCGCAAGTCATGTGGTAAATGTTGGCAAATGCAATTGTCCATTGTATTTTGAAAACAATTCAACAAATATATTTATGTGAGAGTATGTCTGACAGACAGACAGATGTCTGTCTGTCCATTCGTTTGCACCAAAAAAGCAGCCCCCATATACACCACCTTCGGCTACATCGTAACAATTGTGTAAACCTGTGTGTTCGTCGCAGACGTCGTCGTCCAAACAATTTACAAATGATCAAATGAATGTTTTGCAGCACCAAGTCCAGATGCCGATTTTGTCAATAACTGATCGATCGACGGATGGATGCATCTGTCGAACGATCGTTGGAGAATTATGTGTGGCCGGCACATGATGACGGTTTGCATTATGTGTCCGATATACTCCTGCTGCTGCTGATGGCAATGCAAGTTACTGTTGTTTGACAAAGATGGGGTTGTCTGTCGCTGTGGTGGATTTGTCAGACACGAATGTGGCATGTTGTTGGCCAATTGTTTGTTTTGGTGTTTGTTTTTTTTTTTTGTTTTTGTTAATGGGAGGTTGTCTACTTTGCAAAAAATCGACATAATGCCGCCTCGTTACATTTGCTAATACAATTAACCAATGAAATTGCAATAAAAATATATTTCATTTGTGACCAAAACACCTGATATTCTGAGTTGGTGGAATAGAATGAATTTCGTGAACCAATTGAAAATTGCGAAAAAATGTGTTTAGTTTTATTAATTTATTGGGTTTGAGAGAGTTTACAATTTGGAGTTTAGGTGCGTAGGCGTTTAATAAGTCTGGGTTTTTTTTAAATTATTACTAAATAGGTACGAAAGGTACTAAAAATTGAATACTTTGTATTAGAAAAACGAAATGGGCTAGAATGAAAAGAAATTTCGAATGAGAGTCACCGATGGAGTGCAGGATAGATGTACGAATACGGTTTTTGAAAATTCGAACTTTAAGGGTACGAAAAGTTCTAAAATGGTACTAAATTTCTAAAATGATACTATTTTATATTGTGTTATTATGTGAATGGATAGAGCTAAAACAAGTAAAAAATCATTAAGTTCGGCAGGGCCAAACTTTTAATACCCTCCACCTTAGGGTAAAGGAAACATGAGAGCTCATTATGACCAAATTTTAAGACATATTCATATTCAAAATGTGCCCGGAAAATACGGCTATATGGGGCTATACAAAAACGTGGACCTATACATGTAATGTTTTGCCACCGGAGCTAGAACCCATTATGAGCTACAAATACCAATTTTCTGAAAAATCCGTTAAAAAATGTGGCAAAAATCATCAAAATACCGGATATCGGGAGGTACCGTTATATGGGGACTATACCAAAACTTGGACCTATACATACAATGTTTCGCCACACGAACTAGGTCCCATTATTTAGACAAATCCGTGAAAAATGTGGCAAAAAAACTAAAATACCGAATATCGGGAGGTACCTTTATATGGGGGCTATACCACAATGTGGACCTAAACATACATTGTCTCGCCACACGAACTAGGACCCATTATGACCTACAAATACCAATTTTCAGACAAATCCGTGAAAAAAATGTTTCAAAAATCATCAAAATACCGAATATCGGGAGGTACTGTTATATAGGGGGCTGTACCAAATGGTGGATCTATACATGCAATGTTTCGCAACCGGAGCTTGAACACATTATGACCAACAAGTACCATTTTTTAGACAAATCCGTAAAAAAATAAGGCAAAAATCATCAAAATATACCTATTTTAGGGCTCTACGTCAAATCGTGATTTTAATAGACAGACGGACATAGTTAAATAGACTTAGAACTTTATGCTTACTTAAGGATCTTACAAACGGATAAGTTAATATACCCTCCTTTCCAAGGTGGAGGGTATACAAATGATATGAGAAGCAAGGTTGAAAAGTAGGTTCAAGGTTTTGGAAATGTGTACTAAGTCTGCAAACCATACTAAATTAGAAAGATTTTACGTTAGGGCGAATGAATGAGGCTAGCATTTTGTATTTGGGTCCATGTTGGTCGTAGGTTTTTGACAAAGAGGTAGTTTTGGAAATGTGTATTACAAGTAAAAGAACATTTTTCAATAGTACTATATTTGGTACAATTTAGTATGGCGTGAACAAATGATGCTTGAAATCTGAGATTCGGTATTAGGGTCGTTGTGGAGGTGGTTTCGGCAATTTGTTATTTGGTGAAGGGCCAGAGATAAAATTTGATATTTAGATCACTAATGGCATCTGTGTTTGAGATTTGACGGTGATTTGGAAATGCGTCCTATATATTTACGAAAAGTACTAAAATTTGTACTGGGTGAAGGGATAGGACTGAAATCCTCAAATTTGATATTGTGGTCTCTTTTGGTATCTGATTTAGATATGAAGGTTCTTTTGGAAATGTGTACTGTAATTCTTCGAAAAGTACTAAGTTGTACTCAATTGGGTATTGTGTGAAGGGATAGAGGTGAAACAGCGAAATAACTATATAGTGATAACTGTTGTTTCTAGGATTGAGATTTGGAACGGTTATGCGAATGAGAATTAAAATTATACGACAAGTACTGAAATGGTACGAAATTTGGAACAAGTTTGTGAGTACTAAAATTATACGGAAAGTACTAAATGTTACAACATTTGATATTGAGTGAACGTATAGAGTTTGAATCCCGAAATTTGTTATTGACGTCTCTGTTGGTATCTGGTGGCAGTTTTGCAAATGCGTACTAAGATTGTCGTAAAGTACAAAATTAGGTATCACTTTTGGTGTATTGGATGGAGATATGTAGATTTTTTTTTGATGTGA